TTTCTGTTCAACAAAATGGACGAAATGTAAACAAATAACGAGCAGTGGTTGCCATGACTACAGCCATCACTACATCAACAACGATGGGATCGGAAGACGCGGAAATCGTGCGCCAGGTTTGGGACTCCTATCTTCCCGTCGCCTTCCGTCTCGACCCCGAGGAGGAGGCGTCGCTCCACGCGCCACAACCCCACTACGTATGCCTGACTCCCACTTAACCCTTATTAATATTATTATCGCGCAGACAATGGTTTCGCGTTTGTCTTACTTTCCGTTGGTTTTGGAGAAAGCGTTGAAACATTTGCTTCGAAGCGAAGAGAAGCGCGAGACCGGCGACCTCTGGCTCGAGAGCGACGGCACGCCTTTGAAATGGTCAGTATGACAGCAATGACCACAACTATAACCCCCTCCCCCCAGGCACTACCCGGTGGGCGTGCTGTTCGACCTGTTGGGCGCGTGCATCCCCTGGACGGTCACCATCCACTTCCGCCACTTCCCCGAACACCAACTCGTGCGCTGTCAGTCGCGCGCCGCCGTCGAGGCGCACCTCATCCACGCGCTGAAGGAGAGCGACGCTCTGCGCAACCGCTCGCAAGTGATGTCGTCGCTGCAGAAGAAGGACCACAACCAGCTGTGGCTCGGCGTCTGCAACGACAAGTTCGACCAGTTCTGGGCCGTCAACCGCAAACTCAACGCCAGTGACCCGCGCTATGTGCCCCTGAGGGTGCACGCGCGCGACCAGACTGTGCGCCAGAAACTCGTCAAACCCGTGATGGAGGGACGAGAGACGACGCTCGCCGACGCGGTGGACGCCGTTCTCGGCGCCGACGCGGCCGGCAAGCGGATACTGATTCACGGCCTGGAAGTGCCGCCGGAGACGCCGCTGCTGTGGCTGTCGAAACACATGTCCCATTGCGACAATTTCGTGCACATCTGCGCCCTCTAGTGGTTGTGTTTATTATTAAATACAAAATAAATAGAAATTTGTTTTCAGTTCGCACTTAAAGACTGTCATTAGAACACAAAACCAAACACAATCACTTCCACTGCTGCTGTTGTTGGTGCTGTTGTCGCTTGTGGCCGGTAGGGGGCGGCGGGGGTGGTGAGGGGTCGCGGCGCTGGCCCTCCTCCTCCTGGCGCTTCTCGTAGTGCAGGAAGTCGTCGAAAATACTGGTGGTGTGCCGGAAGTGGTGCATGATCTTGATCACCTGCTTGCCCTTCTCGAACGGCACTTCCTGCGTGTCGCGCGAATTGGTCACCGGTTTGTTCTCATTGTTCTCCAACCGGATGTGACGCAACTGCGCGTTCGGCACGTCCTTCACGTACACCCACTTGACGCGGAACTGCCCCTTCCACTTGTCCTGCGCCCACACCGACGACGACGACGCGTAGTCCACCGACGACATCATCTGCGCCATCCCGCAGAAGTGACCTGAGGGTAAAAAGTGAGGGGTTAATCACGTGACCTCTATCTCTATCGCCTACCGGAGCCGTTGACGGAGTAGAGCAGGTAGATGGGCCCTTTGTTCTCGTGCGCTTTGAACGCGTTGTCCAGCCGTTTGTTGCCGTGTTCTGTGGAGCACCAGATCGAGTATTTGATGGAGCGGTGGATGTCGTCCTCCGAGTACGACTTGATGATGAAGAAGCGCGCGTTCCGAGGGTTCAGGTCGAAGTCCTTCGGGTTGTAATTGTTCTCCACTTTCAGTTTATCCAAAACCGGATGATTCGCCAAAACGCTCTCCAGCGCCGAAACAACTGTCGGCGCGGACGCCGTGGAGCGCGACGGCGGCGCCAACTCGCGCCGATTCCACGACGGCTGCTGCGGGGGCGGCGGGGCGGGCGCCGCGGGCGGGGGCGCGCTGCGGGGTTGCGGGGGCGGCGCGACGCTCTTCATGGCGCCGTTCTTGGCCTCCCACGTGCCGATGGCCTCCATGGAAGTGGTCGGCGGCAAGTGCTTCGAAGTGCTTCCGGTCAGAACCGAAGACGACATCTTGGACTTGAGGGACTTGGGCTGCGGTTTCGCCGGCTGCGACGCGATGGACGCCCACGTGGTCTTCTTGGGCGCGGAGCCGACGGCGGAGTCGCCGAACTTCTTGTCGAAAGACGCGGATTTGAAGTCTTGTTGCGAAGTCTTGATGTGATCCAGAGTGAGACCTTGAGAGAGAGACACGTGACATGACTGTTTGCAACGGTCGCTATGGTTACCCGCGATGCCGCTCTCCATCTGCTTGACGTCGTGGTAGGCGTCGGCCGAATGGTAGGAGTAGTCGTTGTTGTCGTGCTGTCGTCCGTAGGGCGGGGCCTGCGAGCGGCTCTGCTTGCTATTGGCGCCCCAGAAGGGGTCGTTGTTGGAGGGGAAGAACGCGTTGAAGGGCGTGGAGGGGATGTTCGCCGCCATGTTGTTCGTCATCGTGGAGAAGGGATACGAGGTTTGGGAGCCGAACATCGCTTCCATCGTGTAGTGGCCTGCAGGGAGACACAGGTTAGCGGTCACGTGACTGCCTGTACAGTACAAACCCTGCGGCTGCTGTGGCGCCGTCTGGTGCTGGTCGGGCTGGTACTGGCCGAGGAAGGCCACTGCGTCGGCGCCGTTGCTCCAGGGCTGCGACGAAGACATGGAGTCGGAGTAGGGAAACATGGCTGCTGTCGGGTAGTGGTAGGACAGGTGGTACGGGTCTGAGGAGGAGTGGTTCTGCTGCAGAGTCGAGCCGTAGTGCGTCTGCGCGCCCGACCGCCACGAGTCGAAGTCGTGGTCGTCTTTCATCTTTGCGTTCATTTCAAAGACAATCAAATGTTGGAAATGGAGGAAAACAATGGCGAAGACGAGCACTCACTCCGCGCATGCGCTCAACAACTGTCAACACTCTGTTTACACTCACAGCTCGAGCGCAGTCCACGGCTCGAGCCCTCCAACACTCGACCGCCGCGCGGCCCGACTCGACCGCAACCCGACTTCTGCCGCGATATCTGTCCGTTGGGTTCGGGTGTCGGCCGAAGACCGACCGAAGAGTGGCCGCGAATTCGGCGGCAAAAAAGTGGTCAAAATTGCGGCCAAATTGCGGACGAAAACAATTTAATGAGTTTTGCGTTAGTTTTGTCCCAAATTAACGCTTAATTGCGAGCAATAGTCACGTGTCGAGTGTCGCCATCTGTCGGCGCGTTTGCGAAGCTCTGAACAAAACGATGGATGACTTGAAAGACATGTTAAAAGATTTGTCTCTCTTTGAGCCCAATTCTGGCCACAATTCCCGACATCTGCGGCCACAACGACCGCCGCCTCCGCCGCCCACTTCCCAGACGTCCAAAAGGGCCGCATTTCCGCTGCCGAAGCCAACGCTCGGTAAGCAGTGGTTTGTAATATTGAGATGACATCTGAATCTCTTCGCAGACTTGACGCCCGTTTCCGCACAACACGTGACCACAAAAGTCAAGTCCAAGACTCAGGACTCGTCGCGCGCTCTGCTCTCCTACGAAGTGACGCCACCGAAGCCCAGAGGAATGACCGAAGCGGAGAAGAAGGTGCGAACAGTGCGTGCAATGATCGCCACTAATGTCTGCTCTTCAGGTGGAAGCGTTGACGCGCGCCATCGAGCGCGAGATGGAACTGGAGGAGCCGAAGGGCGAGTACTTCGGCATCTGCTGCCAGTGCTGTGAGCGCGTGAACGGCGTGATCGACGCGTGTCAGGCGATGGGCAACCTCTACCACACCAACTGCTTCACGTGCTGTTCCTGCGGCCGTCCGCTGCGCGGCAAAGCCTTCTACAACGTGTTGGGAAAGGTGTACTGCGAAGAGGACTACCTGTACTGCGGCTTCCAGCAGACGGCCGACCGCTGCGCCATCTGTGGTCATCTCATAATGGAGATGATTCTGCAGGCGATGGGCAAGAGTTATCACCCGGGGTGAGACCACCGCGTCACGTGACCTCCGCTCTAATCCCTATTTATCACAGCTGTTTCCGATGCCAACAATGCAACGAGTGTCTGGACGGCGTGCCCTTCACCGTCGACGTCCAGAACCGCATCTTCTGCGTCAACGATTACCAGTAATGCAATCTTTTAATCTAATCCCTTTCTAATCCGCGTTAATCCGCAGCAAACTGTTCGCGCCGAAGTGCGCCGCCTGTCAGCAGCCGATCACGCCGTTGGAGGGCTCGGAGGAGACGGTGCGCGTGGTGTCGATGGACAAGGACTTCCACATCGACTGCTACCAGTGCGAGGAGTGTCGCCAGCAGTTGACGGACGGCACGTGCTATCCCCTGAATGGCCACCTGTTGTGCCAGAAGTGTCACATCCAACGCATCCAATGAACACATTTTTACATTTTCAATAAAAACGGAAATCCTTTCATTCCAGCCGACAGTCAATGCTCTCTCAGCCTCCGGAGGCGCGTCCTCTGAGGCGGCGCCTCTACACCAATCACAGCGCTCGCAGCGATTGACGTCGCGTGACGTCATTGTCCGGTGTTTTGCGATTTCTCTTTTCACTTCGCATTCATTGTCAGAGCGAACGCTGAATCGAAAAGTAAGTGCTGTCCCAAAAAACTCTTGACTCTCGCGACCCAACAATGCCTCGAAATGCGGTTCACTTTCGCTAACCTTCACTTCTCTCGCATTGATCTCTAATTCGAAACTCGTTTCCTTTTGGGTCAGAAGCGCGCGCTTCTGGCCATTCGTGACCCAATTGGCGTCTCTTGACTTTCCGCACATTTGACCCAAAGTTGTGATTGTTTTCGTCACGAGAACGCAATTATAATCGCATTAAACCTGCTTTTGTGACCACAAATGCACTCGTTTTCTGTCCCACTTACAAACCTGCTTCTCTGACACACTCTCCCTCTCTCTCGCTCTGACCACGAATGACCCGAACTTCACTTCACTCTCGCTTTCGCTCAAAAGTGATGCTCTTCTTCTGCTGACAGAACCGCTCAAAATGGCCGCAACGCTCATCACCGCAGCAAACAGTCATCTCTTTGATTACGAGTCGCAAGAAGACAAGGATTTCCTGCACGCCATGGAACCGCTGCACGTCTTCGACCCGTTCGTCGCCTCCAACGACCAGATCCTCGACTTCGACGCCTTCTCGGTGGACAACTGGACACTCAAAGCACCCGAACAGTGGCAGCCGCACGACGTGAGCGACTGGATCCGCACGTGGGCCGCGCACAACGGCATCCAAGACCTGGAAGTGGCGCACCTGCTCTACAACCACATGCCCGGCTACGAGTTGTGTCAATTGAGACGCGAGTACTTCACGTCCGTGTGTCCGCAGTTCGGCGACGCCATCTTCGACGCGCTCCAACACCTCAGACAACAGTTTCGCCCGGAGTTCCAGTTCGACCTCCTCTCCGCCTCCGTGTGTCTCGACCTGGACGCCCATCACAGCCCGTCGTCCACTACCGGTCAGTTTTAGTTTATTTTTGCCCGCGATTAACGCCAATATGCAATACAACGCAGAGTCGGACCGCGAGAGCACTTCTTCCAACCTGAGTGCCGTCAATGAGCGCAAAGTGTTTGCGATTCCCGAACAAAAGCAGTCAATTCCCGTTCCGTGCGTGAAGAAGGCCGGACGCAGAGGTCGTCCGCCGAAGAAGGACGCCAAATCCAGGAGTAATTCCATGCAAAGCTTCTTTCTCTCTGCCCCCTATTAAACCATTTAACTCTCCGCAAAGGCAAAGGCAACGGAAAGCTGTGGGAATTCATTCGCGATCTTCTGCTGAACGGCGCCACAAACCCGTCGATGATTCGTTGGGAGCGACGCGAGGACGGCGTCTTCAAGTTCGTGCAGAGCGACAAAGTGGCCAAAATGTGGGGCGAGAGGAAGCAGAACCCAAGGATGACTTACGAGAAGCTGAGTCGCGCCATGAGGTCAGGCCTATATTGCTTTGCTCTGCTTGCCTATAGCTGTGCTCTCCCAACGCAGGTATTACTACAAATCGCAAGTTCTGCTGCCGGTGTTCGGCCGCCGCCTCGTCTACAAGTTCGGGCCGAACGCCACGGGTTGGAGACCACAGTTCGATCACATCTCGATTCTCCAAAATGGTTAAGATTTTGAGAGCGAATGCGGTTTTTATGCAAATTTGAGCCAAAAATGAACTTTTTTTCTCTAATTCAAGGTTTGAATCAAAAATATATTTTTAGTGAAATTTTACTCAATTTTTAGTCAATTTTTGAATCAATTTCCATTCAAAGCATTCATTGTCTCTTAAATGCGTTTTCTCTCTATTTATTATAATTATTGCTTTAATTATCTCCGTTTCGCATCTCTTTTCATATATTAACAAAACTTTGATATAATATACGAAAAGATGTTTTGAATTAATGTTTTGTCTGTTTTTAAGGTAAAGGAAAAGAATAATTCATGTAAATAGTCATAAAATATGCAAATTTTTGTTCAAATCTCTTCTAGTATTGATTTTGTGACATTCACTGATCTCTTAGTTATACATATTTTTAGATGATTTTATACTCATTTGTAAAACCGGTAGAAAAAATCTTTCTATTTTATTGTTATTTGTTTTTTGTATTATATTTTTAAGTTTAGAAATGTTTTGTTTTTGAAAATTTAAATGAATTCAATTTCAGAGAACTTTTTGTTGTTTTTGTAATTTTTCTGAATTTCAAATAAAGTCTAAATTAAAAGGAAAATCTCGTGTTTTCTTCGCCTCAGGCGATGCCCACAGAGAGTGCCGGAGAGCGCTGGGAGTGAATGGGGGAGAGCGTGAGAGAGGGAGTCGTGACACACAATTGATTTGAACGCACATTAAACAAAATAAACCCAAACGAAAATATAATTCAATTAAAAACTAATGACTTTTAGAAATATACAAAAAACCTTTTGCGAGAAAAACACATTTTTTCGACAGAAAAATCCATTTTCGACCAAAAGGTAAGGATTTTCCACTAATTTATTAATGATGTCATCAATTGGTTGTCACTCTTGACGACGCAATGGACGCCTTTCTCCGTCGTTGGGATCGCCGACTGGACGACCCCCACAGCGACAAGAGGCAGCTCTACGACCAGATCCACGCCAGTGACCACTCTTCGGCCGTGTTGTGGCGTTTGGCGCGAGTTTCGTTGCTCTTCGCGGACGCGTTCGAGAAACGCGGCCAAAGAGAGGACTGCGAGCGCGCGGTGAAGGAAGCGGTGGACTTCGGGTCGCGTGCCGTCCAATTGTCGCCCGAATCCCTGGATTGCAACAAATGGTAATTTCTTGGCGATAGTTGAGTGAATGTCTATTTATAGAGAGGTGTCCTTCAAACGCAAACTTAAAGTCAAATCAATTATTGCTTTTCAAAACCTGTCATTAAATAAACATTAAATCACTTTTAATAGACTTTTAATGCGAAAACAAAGCAATCAATGAATCAATTGACTGTTGCATTGAAAACAGGTATTGTGCGGCCGTCGGACGCTTCGCCGCCTTCGTGTCCGTCAAAGAGCGGATCCGTTTCGGACATGTGTTCCAAAAACACGCGCGAATCGCACTCGACGTCGACCCCAACGACCGCGTCATGAACCACTTGTACGGCCGCTGGTGTTATCACGTGTCCGCTCTGTCCTTCTTCGAGCGCAGAATCGCCGCCGCATTCATCGCCAAACCGCCCGAGTCTTCGTATTCGCAGGCGTTGGAAGCGCTGCTGCGCGCGAACTCTTCGCACGACTGGATCGCAAACCACCTGTGGATCAGCAAAGCGCTGATTGCGGACAAACGGCCGCAAGAGAGCGCGCAATACGTGAAGCGCGGGCTGGAGCTGAAGCCGCGCACCGAGGAGGACGAGCTCTCGCGCAAAGAACTGCTGTTTCTGCGCGAAAAACTCGCTTTTGATTGACTGTTGTTTTTAATAGACATCAGAATTACATTGAAATAAATATTACGACAAAACTCTGATTATTATCACAAATATTATATTATGACTGAAGTTGAGATCATTTCTGACATCTGAAGATCCACAGCATTGGCGCCGTTTTGATCACCACCTGTTTGGAGAGCGAGAAGTCCAGACCGTTGAAACCGGTGATGGACTTCAGGATTCGGCAATTCCTGATGTGAGTGCCGATGCGACAGCTGACGTCACTGCCGGCGCCCGAACACCGCGACTGCAGCGATTGGACGTCGCTCTTCTCCAGCACCAAATACGTCACTCCGAAGCGAATGAACGCCTCGTCCCGCAGTTTGGGCTCTTTGTCGTAATAGACGGACTCGAGTTCGAGAAAGCGCGTGAATCCGGTCTGAGCGGCCAAATTGCACACATAGACGCCGATTGTCGAGCGCTCGTTGTACGAGTCCGTGGTCGTGATGTGGCGGTTGAGCCACGCGACCGCCTCCCCGCCCGGGTAGTTGTGGAACGAGGCCAACGACATGAACACAGTCACGGCCACATTGCACCACACGTGGATCGCCATCACGATGAACGCCAGTGTCATACACCTGTCAATCAACGAGACTCTAATCACTAAACACTCTAATGGCAAACACTGACCAGCCGTTGGGCGCGGAACACTTGTCGCTGCTGGTGAGCAGTTGCTTTGCGGTGATCTTCTCGTACTGCTGGTCGAGATCGTCTTCGAACGAGTGCTTTCCGCGCCGTCTGAGTCCGCGATTGTTGGCCGGAAAGGCGTCGTATTTGTTCTCCTCCTTCATGACGGACCCGTTGGTCGACTGCGAGTCGTTTGGCCACAAGAAGTGCCACAATTTGGTGATGAGATATGATTGCGACTTTCTGGTCACCGAATCCTCGAACTTCTCGATCACAACTGCTATCGTGTTGGCGGCGCACGCGTTCAGCAGAGGAATGATGTAAATAACAAAACGCAACTCTTTGTGTCCCAAAAAGGAGTACGAAATGAGAAACAGCGCCGAAATTGCGGCCAAAGTTTGGAGCATTTGTTTGGAACAAAAGGGCACGAAAATGATGGTCAGAAGCATCGCTCGCGGAAGTGCCGAATAGAAGTACCAGAAGAAGGGCTGAACTCCCCATTCGTGCGAACGGTTCTCGAAGATGTTGAAACGGATCGCGTCTCCTGTGGACAAAGGGTTAGTCTCATGGGTCACGTGATGGACACACTTGCCTTCGGGCCAAACGGGTTTCTGCCAAACATAAGAGTCGAAAGCGATTGTAATGAGAAGAGAGATAAAACCGGCAGGAATGCCAACGGCGAGGAGACGGCGCAGATGGAGGTCCCGCGTGACCACCAGTTCGTAGAGAGTGATCCACGCGAAGAGAATGACGGTTTCGACGCGCAGAACGAGAACAGTGAAGGCGAAGAGCGCGAGGAATGAGTTCCACTTGCGATCCAACCATTTGGCGAAAGCGAGCAAAACGGCGATCAAAGCGAAAGTGTTGGGAAGACATCGCGAAGAGTAGAACAGGAAATGGAATTGAGTCAGCGTTAGGACCGAAAGCGCGCGCCGAGTGGTCGCTCCGTAGCGGCGCTCCACTGCGCGGCCGAACACCGAGAAGGCGAGGATTACGGCCAATAGGAGAACGATTCGCGCGAAGATCTGGACGTAGAACTTGTCGTCCGAATGAATGAAATACGCGAACGGCTTCGCGATCGCCGACACCAGAAATGGGCCCAAAAACGTGCGGTGGACTACACCTGAAGACATGGACAGAGCGGTGAGTGATAGGTCTGATAGCGAGGCACACATACCGGGGAAGTGCTGGTGATCCCAATGGGAAGTGCTGTTGTCTCCGGCCAACAGTCTTTGGAACAAGTCTTGCGCCGAACTGTAATTGTGGTAATTGTTGTGATCGAAGAGATTAGCGAAGAATTGCATTAAATTTGTGGGATTTGAGAGATATATGAAATCATGGATCGATTGAATGGCAAACGATTCCTCGACTTTCGTGAACGGAATCAAAACCGTGAGAATCACCGAAACGGTGGACAAAGCCATGAATTGGAGGAATGGAGACAACGGAGAGATGGATAACGACATAATGGCTCCCATTTTGACAATAATTTCACCAAAAGATTAAAACTTTAATTCAAATAATATTTAAATATTTTGTTTACATTTCATATGTTTTGCGAGAAAAAAGTTCAATTCATTCAATACAACACTTCATTCACGGCAAACCCTCCCCTCTGAGCGGCACGTTATTTGTGACCGTTTTATGACATTTGCGTTCATCGCGAGGCAACAGAAGGGAGGGGTCGCTCGCATATGGCGTTACGCATATGAGAGAGCGATGGGAAGCGCCGACAGAGGGACACAATGTTTGCGTTGGATTGAGATTTGAATTGAAATGTGATTTTGTTTTCTTCACCGAAACAATGGATAAAACTCTTCACTCTTTGTATTATTCGTCGCTTTTGTCTGAATCGCCGTCCATTAGAGACAACACGTCAAGACATGCCAACAGATTCATCAGTAAGTCTTTCTGCTCCACACTTGCAGCCATTGATTGTCTCTCTCTCTGTCCAAAGACTCGTTTGAAATGTCTTCAATGCATTTATTGCCGCAACAACTCATCAATCAGAGCGTATTCCTCAACACCACCGCCGATGAGACCAGTGTTGCCGACAACACGCTTATGGCTGCGGAGGAAGACTCTTCGCTCACACTCTATCACCAGTTCTTCGAAGCGAACCAAAAATACTCGGAAAGCGAAGACAATGTGTTTGAAATGTTGACCGAATTCGAGCTCTTGTGTTGCGATCATCTGATCGTCACTTCGAATCTCATGAAGTCTAGAGTCAGACATTCGGTTGAGTCGAAAGACATGACGAAACTCGAGAATCTGTTCCGTTTGGAGAGAAACAGTTGGCGAGTCTTCAGAGCCATGTTTGAGGACAGACTGAAGAACGACGCGAATAACGACGAAATGACAGACATTTCGGTCGCTTTGAGTGACAAGACTTTTGTGGACCGACTCTTCGAGAGAGAGCCGCGTTTGCGGGAAATGCAATTAGTGGTGGACTGGTTGGAGCGGAACCAGTTGGACGACAACGAAGAGGTGTCCAAAGACCGGATCCAGTTCTACTCCGAAGGTATTCAACGATTATTCCCGCCGTTTCTCACTCTCTTGACTCTTAGGTCCGTATTATTGGGAAAACACTTTACACGCGTTGAAAACGCAACTCAACGACAACGAGCGCAAGACGTGTCCGGCGATGGATCCCGACGCCGCCATTCGCTCCCGACTGCCGCTCAACGATCTGGACGTGGAGGACGAGAGCCGTCTCTTCCGCTACATCTTCCAATTGCTGCGTTCGGGACAATTGCCGGACGCCAAAGACATCGCCCAACGACTCGGCTATCATTGGCTGTCGGCCGCCCTCGACGGCTGGCTTCTGCACAACGACCCCAACTATCACTCCAACGGATTCAAGTCGAGTAAAGTGATGGAAGCGGTGGAGGGGAACGCGAATCGCGATCTCTGGAAATACGTTTGTTGGCGCGCCTCCAAAATGGAGGGCACCAATGTGTACGAGCGCGCCATCTTCGCCGCCCTCAGCGGCAATGTGGCCACTCTTCTGCCGCTCTGCACGCGTTGGTCGGACCGCTTGTGGGCGTATTTCCGCTCTTCACTCGACGTTCACATTGAGTTCGAGTTGCGAGAGACGGCTGTTTCGCGACCCGAAGCGAAGCCCAGGTTCAATGTGGATCTGCCGGACGTGTATTGGGACAACAAGTTGACCGCCGGCGACGTCTTCCGCGAGATCGAGTCGCGCGGAACTGTTTCGGCGGTCGTCGAAGAGTCCTATCATCAGAACATCCAGAAGTTTGTGATTCTCGGAGACGTCGACAGTCTCGTAAACTATGTGTACGACTGCGCGAAAGCCGTCACCGACAAGAAGTCGCTTTCGGACACGACTTTTGCCCATTTGTTGCGATTCTTCGCACATCTCGTCCTCTCTCTGAGGTTTGAATGCTTTTCTCAGGATTTTTCAAAAATTTGAATTTCTTTGCAGACAATTGAAAGCGAACACAAAGCGCGAGAGTCTCTGTGTTTGCATTTTGGAGTTTTACATCGACTTTCTCATCTCGAAGCACGAGACCGAATTGGTCGCCTTCTACACGTCACAGTTGCCGGCAGCCAATCAGATCACCGCTTACGCCAAGCTTCTGGAACGCGTCTATCACGAAGAAGACCGCAAGATGTGTATTCTTTTGGCCAAAAACGCCAATTTGGACATCAATGCCATCACAATGACTGTTGTGGACAATGTGCGCGTCAAAGCAGAGGAAGACACGCCAATGGCCACAGAGTTGATGAACACGACGAGCGGCGAAGACAAGAAGAAGATCAATTCGTTGGATTGGCTGCTGTTCTCCGAAGTGCAGGAATGGAGCGAAGCCTTGAAACAAACGAATGCTTTGATGAGAAGCTTTCTGTTGTGTCGAAAAGTGGACGCAATGAAAGAGGCGTTTCAGAAACTGCCCGAAAATATTGTGGACAACGTTTACCGCCAGTGCTTTCGCCGCACCGGAGGGCGAGAGTTGAGCGCCGAAGACGACAACGCGGTTCGCGAGTATTTGTGTCACAAGTCGTATATTCAGGCGAACGACGCTTTCGCCGACTGGTAAGCGATTCGAGATTCATGACAATGTTTGACGCATTTTTCACTTTAGGCTCTATTGTCTTCACAACTCGAAACCTCGAGAACCGCCGAAACAGACGTCCAAACGGTTCATGGATTCCGTGGCTTACGAGCAGTCAATGAAACACTTTGAACTGGAAATGAATCGATGGAAAGACATGTTAGCACAACAGGCGAGACTCACGGCCGACAAGATTGAGAACGTGCTGCTGTTTCCCGACGGCGGATGGATGGCTGACCAGAGGAGCGACGCTCGGGTGGACGCGTTGAGAGGGCATCAGATGGAAGAGTTGCGACGACAATACATTCCTCAACTCGTATTCATCGCGCATTCCATCCATAAATCGACCGACAATTCAGTGGAATGTCTAAAACTGGCCGATTTGGTGGCCGACGAACGCAAAGCCATTTACAAGACATTCTCGAAGGAATTGTTGATTGATTTGTTGAAGAAATTGAGAGAAACGTCGATCGAAGTTCTGAACGAATGTTCGGATCCTTTGGGATATCCAACTCTTTGATAACTATTTGTATTTCTATTAAAAATCATTTCCTTTCGTGAAAAATGTGTTTTATTTCTATAATTATGTGAAGAATTTGTCGATAAAAGCGATGAAATGTTTTGTCGATCGATAAAAGGTATTAAACGATGAATATATTGAGAACTATATGACAAAAGAATGCGATTTTGTCATTAAGAGCCAAATATCTGAGATATCGATCGCTTTGTCCACAAAATGAATGATTGAATGAAAATGTTTGAAGAAAAGCGAGTTTTGGAAACAAAAACATTAATCTTTTAAAAATAATTAAAGAAAACTTTTAATTTTTTGTTTGCAGAGAAAGTAAACACAGATTTTCCACAAATATTTGGTTTTCTTTTAATTCCATTTTTTGTCTATTTTTTCAATTGTTTTAAAATATTTTCCGATTTTAATCATAAAAATGTATCGAAAAATGATTTCTAAACCGAAAATACATTTCACTCTCGGAATTATATTTAATTGTTACCCAAAGAGTGAAAACCATGGAAACCATTAATTTGATTGATTTTCTTAAAATATCTCTCAAAACAAAACCCGAAAGTCATTATATTTTGTGGATTAAGAGAAGGATTAATGAATGGAAACACACTTTTAATTCAAAATATTTAATAAACTTTAATTTATTTAAATTTATTTTATTTTTCAAGAATAGAAACAAATTAAAAACATATTTTTATAAACTATTTGATGAGAATTTAAAAGAGATTTTATTGACTGAAAGAAACGTTGAATTTGTAATAAAAAGTGAATTATTCTCTCCATTAGAGCGAAAACATAGAGAAAAGGCTTGAGTTTTGAATATTGAATGAAATAATTAATGAAAACATGAATCGAAATAAAAGTTGTATTTCTTTCTATTTTAAGGACTGTTTTTAATAGAGTCTAAAAATAATGAAAAAATCAATTATTAAACAAATATTGAGTTTCATTACACGAGAAATAAGATTAAAGTCAAGAAAATGAATGTTATTTTAAATTCTATTGAATTTTGAATTAGAATTCAAGAATTTATATGAAAATTGAGAAAATATTTCAGACTTTTGTATAAATCTTATTATTAATAGAGATGTAATGAAAATTCCTTTAATTTCGTAAAATTGAAGGAATTTCACGAATTTTAATAATTATTCAACACTTGAAAAGACAATCAAAATATGTCTCAAGAATTTTGAAAAATGTCGAGAATTTTCAAATTAATAAAAGAATATTTTGTGAATTAATTCAACAAAAAGAAGTCTTAATTATAAATTCAAAAGAAATAATTTATTGATATAACGAATGAAATGTTAAATTGAAAAACAATTCACAGAATATATTGATTACAAAATTAATTCTTGAATTACGAGAATATTTTCAAACGGAAATTCGTGTTTGCATTTGGCTTATAAACGATTTCTTGCATTCAAATGTTAGACCTTTAAAAACTGGACATTAAATGTCTTTTTATTGAATTTGTTATAAAATTTCAAAAATAATTACATAAAAGGATGAAATAAATGCGTTTAAATTAATTCTTTTATAACATTCAAAATGAAAAATACAAAAAGAGTCCACAATTTGGGAAACGTTTCATCGATTATAAAATGAGAGTTAAATTTTGAATATTTCTTAAATTCTACCAAAAATTGCATTATTTTTAATCTCAATCGAGATTTGAACCAAAAAATAAAAACAGATTTTGTATTTAGACAGAAAATTTCAATCGATTGATAAAAACACATTTTGTGCTAAACTTTAACTCTTTTTATCGATTTACTATTTTGTTGAGCTTTTGATCACAATTTAGACACAAATTATTCATCAATATTTAAAATATGTACAAAAATAATGAATTTTGAATTGAATTTTGAAAGTTTTGGTCATTTTGTCGACAATTTGTGACTTTTAATTGAATGAAAGTCTGAATAATAGATGCTTTCATGGAATTAAAGATACAGATAGTGGTAATCGTATGCATAATAGATGGGATTTTGTGAAAAAACTTAAATCGAGTGCAACTCTGGAGAGAGAGAGAATACGTGAGATATAAAGCATATTTACTTATCTCGTTTTTGTATCAATAGTGTACACTAGCTAATACCAAGTAGAAGTGATTTCTCCCTCTTGCTTTCTGCAGCAACTCGAGAGAAGTCAGAGATTTAGTG